AATCGCCTCTTCTGAAACGATCACCTTTCACACATTCCATCTCCCTGTATCTTTCCAGGCTCCAGCAGTCTTCCTTGAATACCTCCACCTTTTCCAGGAAAAAAAAGACTGCCCCTAAGCGGAAGAGAGAGGGGGGCACTGCTATGGACTTAATCGGCCTAGATACACGGCATAAACGTGGCTTAAAAGCTGAAAATTGTTTTCCGTACCGATCGTTAGTTCGACAAGTAGAAATTTGGTCACACACTCTATTGCGCGACTGTGCCATTTGGTCTGCGACAGAGCTGAGTGGAATGATGGATTCTCATCATTCCACTCTGCTTGTGCTGTGCTTTTGGTCGGAGAGTGTGGTTATGAGTTCAAATTCATGGAAAATAAAATAGAAAACAGCTCCGGACATGGAATCCCAGTGCTGTTTATTTTCTTTGTTGTGTAGTTCACTTTTATTGCTTCTCTATGGCCAGTATGCATAAACGTGGTATGTATAGCGCTGGTGATGAAGATATCGATCTTGTTCCACTGGAGGAGTTTTATGCCCATGCTCCTGAAGGAGTTTCTCGCCCGGAAGTGACCAGAACGAATGAACACGAACAGCGATTAGCAAGGTTGACGTGGGAGATCGCACAACGAAAAGCGTGAGTTCTTTCCGAGATTCTGCAGAAATATTTTCATCGGTTGCTTGCTACACGACAGATCATAAATATAACTAATGACTTCCATATTTTACGTGTGAATACGATTTGCTATATTTTACTGTTCAGATTGGTCGATACATTAACAGAACAAGAAGGACGTCGGAATGTTCTCATCAGCAGCATTAATGGGAAGGAGCAACGATTGAAAAGTCTTCGATCAAAAATTTCGTTGTTAATAGATCTGTCTTAACGCGTAAGCAATTCCCTACTACTCCTATCTATCCTACATAACGTATCTCATCATTTCGCACCTCTAGTCTTCTATATGAACTGTTATAAAAGCTCTATTCGTTACACTAAACTTATAGCGTGATCTACTACCAACCTTATAATCTCTCTCACCTTTCCATTCCCACATTATTTCATTTTTGGTCACCTCATCAAAACTATTTTTTAATCGGATTTACATCATTCGGGTGCTGTATAGATTTCAGGCTTGCAAGCCCCGAGTGCCAAGAGAGGTCTAGGGTTGAAATGCCTCTGGCCTCTCTCAGCCAGAACAACGGGGCCTTCTTTTTCGTCTACTTCCGCATGAACCTCCGTATTAATATGTTCAAGCAGAGGCGTAATAAGGCTCATTATGCGAATGTGAACTGTTTTCTAATTTCAAAAATTATATATGCGATTTGGGCTTTTTATCTTAGTCATTAAATCATTCTGCATTTTCATAAAAAAGAAAAACAGTGCCACATAGTCCGCTATCCTTTTGTAACCTACTCTCGACTCTGTTTGAACTTTAAGATCTTTAACTTTTCTCATTCTTGTAAGCTTTCGAAGGAAATGTAGTAGTTCGATAACGTTAAAGAGAGTGTGTCTATCCGTCGTTCGAGTAGGATGGGGTATGCCTTATTGATCACCTCCGTTGTACCCTTTTGAATGGTTAGCGTAGAAGTCCACCAATTTTTTTAGCCATCTAGGTGCAAGTTCAAAAAGGTTTTGTTGCTACAGGTCTTTGAACGGTTCCCAGACCGTGTGCTTTTTGTTTCTTTTAATGCATAAATACCATGTATGTGAAGCTGAATGCGCGCAAAAATAATCGATTGCTGTAATTTTGTATCGTAACGACGGCCGTTCGAATTATATCATTTCTACTTTATGGTGCTACTAATGCTATCACAATAGTCTATTTCATGAAGACCGCCAGTTTGCAGTTTTTCTGTTACTTTCTGAGTCCGTATTCCATCAATTTTTTTGTTTCAGATACAAGCTTACACGTAGTCATTCGTGGAGATGCCAGTGAGGCTTTGCGACTGAATCGACAACAGAAGGAGGAGACCGAAGAGAAGGAAAGGAGCGACGATGAAGGTTCGGCATGCGCCCAATAAACCTAATGATTTCTGCCGTTGTTGTATTACTTTCTATTGTTTCAGAAACCAGCGACAATGATGAGCGACACAGTGTGGTGTCAGATCGATTGGAGTTGAACAAGAAAGCAGTGACTCAGCCACATCCTATTTATCTCAAGATCGATATAGGATGTCATGGTAAGATCCCAGTAATTGTAAAGGCGATTAGTTTAACGAGGAGGTCTACAATAAAGTGCTTCAGATGATGTGAAGGTTGCCCTGAAACTGTTCTATTTGCCAGAGCTGCGGGTGACGTGTATGAAGTATAAGGTTACTGGCAAATTGCCGACACATGGGTATGTTCTACAAATTGTTGGCGAATGTTTGAATGTTTGGCAATTTTTGGTGCTTCTGTGGCCGGAAATCAATTTAGGAATTTCAGTGGTGTATCCGCGCATGAAAATCTGGCTTGACTCATTGTTCCCTGGTGACGACTGAACGAGAATGTCCCACATCTCATTGGAGCCCTGCAAAATCTAGCACGCTTTAAGTACGTAAGGATTCTACCAGCCTGGCAAGTTTTTTTTTTTTTACAAAAGGACGATCACACTCTGCGAATGTTGAAAACCTGCGACTTATTTCAGGATTGGTGTGGATTCCTTTGCCAGTAAGTATGGCCGGCCGTATCGGTTCGTGCAAGCCTTAACAGGATCGGCTTCATTACCTGGCGGAGATTCGACCTCAAAAAATTCGGGCGCACAACCACTGGCACTTACAAAACTGGCTAAATGTACTGGCATTGATTTGAGAAGGCTATTCGTAGTCGAGTGGGAGCGCGAGTAAAACTTGTCCGTCAGTTGATCGAGCTAGGTTGGTATTTTTATATTTTCCAATTAACAAGTGGCACTGGCCGTATCATGCTCAAAGTTCATCTTGTGTAACAAATACGGCTTCATATAGGACGACGGAACGGGCATTTCGACGTAACTGGCTGATTGGGGCGTACTCTCCCTCGCCAGCCCTTCTCTCTGATATACACAATTTGTCGCTCTGTTATCTCGACCCTCCCAACCGTCCACCGGGTGATACTCGACGTCCTTTTTCCTGAGATTTGAAGTGGGTCCACTATTTTGTGAAGCAAGCTCTTCAGAGTCATCACCTATGGATGCTGTACGGGCATTCGATGTTCCACTGAAAATGGTGACACAGATTCTTCTTTCAAAATGATCGATGAGGAGACGTTTATGGTGAGCTAATGGACATTCATTAATTTAACAATGCTAAATGAACGTGTAAACGTTTTTACGATCTTCCGTTATGGTTCTGATTTGTTGCAGTCTTCTGTGACACCCGAGTTGAGGATACTGGCATCACGCGAAAAGGGAACGTTCTACTTCACGGCGGTTTTGTTGAATAAGCTATTTGATCTCAAGTGAGTCATCGCTTTTCTCGCCTAAAGCGTGGGTCATGCCTCCCTGTGTCTACATCGATGTGTATCGGACGCGGACTGGTCTTGCCGTACTCTCTAATTTACACGAGAGAATACGTCAGAATACTCTTATCCCTTCGGAAAATTATCGGGCTTCTGAGGCTGAGTGCCGCTCAATCTTGGCTGGCCTCGTGTGTATGGCTTGCCATCCGCTATTCGAAAAAGACAATTTTCGCGTTTAGACCGACGTCAGTACTAATGGACCTGGTAGGTTTTCTACGATCCTGTTACAGATTTTTTTCGTATGCAGTGTTTCCATTCTTATTGTAATGGAGATGGATTCAAAGAACCTCTTTCTTCATTATTCTTCAGTGTAGCTGAAGACAAACGGCTGTAGCGGAAAGTATCCCGAAGTTTCTTAGGGCCATGCAAATATGCGAAAAAAGGACCTGGCCTAGATATTGTGATGGCGCCTCACGAATGGCTATGGATTCGAACCATGTTGCGATAAGGATTGGATGCATGGTCGAATAGGGGAATCTGGAAATAACTTGAGCGGAAATCAAAAATTCCGACTAAGTGAGCGAAAAGATTTTGATCTGTTCCGTCATCGACCTAACTGGAGAATCGAGTAATCATCTTCTTGTCAGCTATATGTGCACCGGTAACAGTTCCCGAGACTCCGCCGGACTTTTCGGCTCTTCAGATGCGCAATTTTCCCTCTCAATTTCCTCTGTCCAACGTTTCCGCGGGTGTACCTAGTCCAGCTATCAAGGCTGCAGGTTGGGAGCAATAACATATGAAAATTTTTGATCCATTGGTATTTATAGAACACCCTTCATTTAGAGAATACCAATCATTGTTAGTATTTGCCATCATAAACATGCCTAGAAACCTTTTCATTTTTTTCAGAATTCATGCCTATATCATGATACCAGTAGACTATCCAAAGCAGTTACCACTTTTCGGTATTGTTTTCACTAAAAACGGAACTAAAGAGACACCACAGCAGACATTTTCTTCTGCCAGTAGCCACATTGTGAAGGTGAGGGCTTTTTAGTCACTGTCGGATAGTGTCAAACGTGGCTGGAGAACCCGTATCACTTTTGTATTGATGTTTTCAGTCGCTGGAAAATTATATCAATGTGAACTGCGTAGCGGAAGAACGCATTGACTTAGATTCTATATTGACTCGGCAGTTGGCCTATTTAACAAGTAGATGTGATGTCATCGCTGACCTTGTCCCCCAATTCAATTCCGGTAGTAGCACTCAGCGACAACATCTGTATAGTAGGATGACACGGTGAGTTGGGATCGTTTTTTATAAAGTCTTCTATTTGTGGTTTTATTTCCACGTTATCTTATATTGTGCATAATTCTTCCCTTTTTTGCTTTTCGTGACAATTAAGTGTAGCCGACTGTCTTGCTTATGTTAGACGATTTTGAATTAAATGAACACCGGGGAATGTATGGACCATTACATCTCCTTAGAGCAGCACCCTCCCTAGCAGTACTGGCTATCACAGAACTGTTCTGGTATTTTTCTGCACAAAGGACTGATACAGGCAATCGGCAGAACAGTTCCGCCATTGTAAAGGGCAGGGGTATTTAATCGGAAGGATCTCTTTTGGGGCAAATATGACTTCCTTCCTCCAGCGAATACGACCCTCCTGTCGGGAGTTACTCAAGAATGCTGAATTCAGAGCCTAGTTTTTTGCCACTCATGCTCGAAATGGATTCTAAGTCTGAGTTTCGATTTTGAGCCTACTTGAAATCAAGGTTAGCGCCAAAGCAAGAGAGGCGAAGGTTGCACAGCAGAGGGAAAGAAAAGGAGAAAGACAGACAGCTAAAAAGTAACGCAGGCGAAAAAGGCGCTATTAGACAACGGTGGGGCATTTTGCACTTTAGCTAGTCCCTTTTTTTCTTGTTCATGCTTGACTAACAGAATCATTACTTCGCGGTGGACACTCTGTAACTGCTTGTGAAGGTTGCGAAATCGGTTCTCAGAACCACTCCGGTTTCGAGGATTTACGGCTTCCACAAAATCTCCTGTACAGTCTTAGCTGAGTACCATTTGTCGCCTCACCATGCTAAACTGCGCATGAGAAAAAAAAACCAGGAACGGCAGTGGGGTGGGGTGTCTTACAAAAACCAAAACAAACTTGGTGACTGATGCTGAAGAGGTCAATGATGGAGTAAATTGTAAAATGTTACACAAATTAATTGCCTTAATGTTTATCCTAAAGAAATTAATTGCCTTAATGTTTACACTGAAGTTGTTCTTGCTCTACTTCGATTTGTCATTGTCCTAATCTACCAATTTTTCGTGTAATAATTTTACCAATTTTCAGCGGACGTGATGATGATCTCCCATTTGCATACTCGTCGGCGACGAACGCATTCGCTTTTCAATAGCGCATTGTTGTTGATGTTGTTATTTTTGTTGTTGTGACTGTATTAATGAAAAGTCTCATTGATTGTTGGAGTTCCGTTGCTAACTCGGTAATAACCGATCATTCTATTTCAACATGTGTAGTTGTCAGTTCGCATTGAACATGGTTGCCTCGAGGGAATCGGTCAAGTAGTACAACGGCAACTGTTGCTCAAGAAATGTGGAAAAACTTGAAATCAGTAGAATTAGAGCACATTGTCCGCCAGGTGAGGGTGGACAAGTTTCTCAAGGCTTTGTAGCATTAGTTCCACAGCTCTTTTCAAGTTTTCTCTGCAACATGGTAAATTACGTGTCTTTGTCTTTACGCCTGTTCATAGTGCTGTGCAACAGACGTTCCAATTAGGTATCCGCGTAGAAATTAGGCGTTGCAGGGGTAAGAAAAGAGTTTTAAGTACTCCTTCCTTTAGTTTGTAAGCGTTTCAAGGGCAAAATCGACATAGAGAGACCTCTGCAAGGTGATCTGCTCACAAGAAGGACTGATTCATCTAGCATGTTGTGAGCGCAATCTCCAAAAGTACTGTGGGACTTCCCTATGCTTGGTATTGCGATACTAAAAGGCACGGGGAGACCGAATCCAAGTTTATTCCCTGTGAAACAGTGGGGTCATATCTCATTCATTGGTGATGACAAGGAAATTTCCGGTACCAGTAACCGGTTTAATCAGTGACCAACAGATCGCTGTCTGCTTTCCATTCATATGTTTTATTTAGAGCGTGTTCAGACTTCGCGATCGCGCGATCCCCTCGCGCTACTGTGGGTGAAATTGGAGGGGGTCATGTTCGTTCATGTTTATTGTTCCTGTTCTTTTTTTCTTTTCCTTCTTTCTTCCTTTGTGTACATAACGCCCTCCTAATTTTAAGGAACGTTTCGAAATATCTTTGAGTTATTTATTATCCTATGCTAATTATTATACTGAACCAGTTTGGCTGACGCACACTACTGCGCGTCCGGCCGGGCTACTGATTG